GGGATATATATAAATTTTCACTTCAACTATAAAAGAAAGATTCACGTGAAGATACTCGATCGAGCATAGCCCACGCGTAAGGCTTCAAGGCCCCCACCATGCATAAATGACACTTAAAAGAGTACAACTAACATTGTATTGTATGGTGTATGAATGTTACCCCACCCTCCCCCCCAAGTTATTGGACCATTCTATTATTTATTTCCACTTGAAAAAAAATAAAAAATTTAATAGATAGGTGACGACAAACTCAAACCCTTTATATACTAATCCATCTAAACCAAGTTCAGAACTTCATAACTTTTAAAATAATTCATTAGAATAGTTTCCAATGTCTTCCATAGCCAAAGTCACAACATATCAGTCGAAAAATTCACATTGCCAACGTTAAATCTATCAACAAAAAAGTAGGGTGGTAAGAATATTAGTGAATTAAATCAAAATTTAAGTGATTATAAGCTATAAATCCTATAGATGGTAAGATAATAAGTGCGTAACAACTCAATCTTATGAAATATATAGATAGAACATATATTCGATCAAAAGTGATGAAAATACAATCACCTATCAAACATGTTTCCAATGATACTCGGGCTCAACCCAAAAGGTGATAATTAACAAAGTTACCATCTCTATCCTTTCTTTCTACATTTCTATCGGAACTGCGTGTGAGAACAAATCGACTACTCTGCTATGATAAGTAGTCGATAGTAGTGTAATCGACCATCATACCGATCATTTCACAAATGTAAAACAGGGGTTTTATTAGCAACTGCAGAACTATATTTACCATTTAATCATTCATATCTCCAGAATCACACAGCATGATGATTCAGAACTCAGGAATTCGCTAAAAGAGACATTATAGTAATCTGCCAAGGTCTACAGGGGAGAGACAACAACAAAAAAGGATATAGGACTAATTAGGACATGGAAACTCACTCATAATCAGACTCTGAGCAATACATTTTATCTTGCTTTCGTTTTCCTCTTCAGGAAGAAAAGTAAAAAGATGCGGCACCAGAAGTGACATATGAACGGAGAATAGAATTTAATCGGAAGCAATAAAAAACAATTCTTATTCATCTGATGACTAGGGAGAATTTTCAGGGGTCTTCAGAGGAACAGCGGTCTTACCTCTATGCTCTGTGACAGCAGCTCGAAACTCTTCGACTACGGAGGCATCCTTAAATTTCAAAGCAAAAGTAGAAAGTCCGTCTTTCCCTTCACTGGCAGTATTCACACAGGCAAAAGTTATGCCTTTCTTGTCCATATTAGTCAGCTTCATGTCCGGGAAGAGACCGGCATTCAAAATCAACCGATAATTTCCTCTGGCTCTCATAATCAATCTAGCTTTTCTTATCCCTGTTGTGGAGACATTGACCTTAAGTTCCCCCTTCCCGCGTTCCTTCCAAGCTCCATCAGTAAATTCAAACATCGCAGAATCGGCTGTGAAAACAACCTTCTCATTCTCTTCTCCTGTTTCAACAGGGACCTCCTGCATAGAAGAGAATGCACTTCCCCCACTTTTGTTGTCTATAGTTGGACCCAAGGTGCCAAAAATGGAAGAACTTCCGTTACCAGAAGCACCAAAGCCAATAGAAAGCAGGTCGTTCTTCAACCCGAAATTGGAACCAGAACTTGGTGGAGATCCATCTTTAGGAATTGATCCAAATGAGAATGTAGAACTGGAAAACCCTGTTCCAGTAAGTCCGGTGAAAGCGTTTTGGCTGCTTGAAAGTTGCCGAAATGAGCCGAAGGGTGAACTTTCTGCACCCTTTGCGATATTTTTATCACCACTACCATTTTCCTCAGTTATCTCGGCTTCTGCATCTTTCCCTGCTTCATTCTCGATGTTAACGTTTTCTGTAGGTTTCTTGGCTTCGACAGTAGACTTCTCACTTTCTTCTGCTTTCTCATCAGCAGAATTAGTTTTGTTTGGCTCACTGACATCATCAGTTTCACCCTTCTCTGCATTTAATTCAGCTTTAGATTCATCAACTTCACTTTCGGATTGCTTGGCATTCTCATCCTTGATATCAGTTTTTGCATCCCCTACAGTTGGTTCTTCCTTTAGCTCATCAACCTTGTTCTTAGATCGGTTATAGATCTTATCAATTTGTTCAATTTCTTTTCTCACAACACCACTCTCTTCAACCTTTTCTGAAGCAGCAGAACCAGGAGGAGGAACCAGACGTATCGTGGCAAAAGGGTTAGAAGAAGGGGCTGGGGCAGAGTTAGGGACTGGTGGAGTTGATGTTTGATGGCGACGAACTTTCACTATTCTTCTACTTGCCAAAACCTCGTCACTTGCCTTTTTGAAACTTCCTGTCTCTGGTTCAGAGGTTTCATCATCATCAAGACCAGGGTTATCTCGAGATAGTTGCACTCCAGCAGCCCTCTTTTTTGAAGGTTGAAAATTGTTCTCCTCATCCCCCATTGCAGATTAACAAAACAAACTTGAAGGAATATTTGCTTCCTCCACAAGCTGCAATAAATGGAATCAAATGTTGCTGCTCGACCAAACAGATGCGAGAAAAGACAAATTCTAGGAGATGAGACATACTTATGATGTAGGATACAAACTATAACGTGAAACTACATGATCCAGATAATCAAATTAGCACTCGCCCACAGAGATAAACAAGCGAAATTAATCATTAATTTTGACAACTGTTATTCATTATAGAAAGTATCCAAAGACCATGCACAAAGCAAGAGTAACACTCACATTTGCAAATCAAACTCAAAAATGGGGGAACATGGAAAAAAAATATAAAAAAAATAAAAATGCAAGAGTAACATCAATGATCGCCTGTTCTTTGCTCATCGAGCTAAAAGACACTCATTTTATCAAATGAAATTAGGTAAGCACAAACTATAGAAGTTTAAATTGATGTCTAAATACAGATTCATAAACACTGTGTTTCAAACTCTGGTGCATGTTGTACACTGAAACCAAAAGTTTTACTTTACAGTCATGTTAAACATTATCTTGGGAACCAGACACCCAGAATCATGTTTTAGAATACCGTATTATGTCGTTCCGAAAGGGAAAATAATAAAATAATAAATCAAATCCCACTTCCATTATCTAAAAATATCATCCAAAGGTTTTGCAGTAAACACTAGAATCGAGCAGGTACAAGGCAATAACTTACCCAAAAATGACTGCAATAAATCACAGGCACAAATCCAAATCCCAAGCTTAATCAAAAGACAAAAGAGAGACCAACAAAAAGAAAAAGAAAAAAAAAGGGTTGGAGAACTGAACGTCCATGAATTTCTAGCAGTAAACGTTCACCAAAATTTTATTCATACAACAATCGAACGCACAACATGACCTTTCAAAAAAAATTGAAAAATGTTGATTCCACCCTGCAATTTGTTTCCTTTTTTCTCCGCTCCAGGATGCTGACAGGCTAGGGAAAACAGCAAGTTATTTTAATTTCATTCTTACACATCAACGTGATCTCACAAGAATTTAAGGAAGATGATTACTTGAAAGAACATAAAAAGCTCCAACTCAGCCTAATATACAAACTAACTGGTTGTTTTCATCAATATGGCGTGTTTCTCTTTCAGACTGTGTGGAATACAAATCAGAACAAAGTATTTCAAGTCATTTTAATTTGTTTTCATCAATATGACACGTTTCTCTTTCACACCCTGCAATTTGTTTCCTTTTTTCTCCGCTCCAGGATGCTAACAGGCTAGGGAAAACACCAAGTTATTTTAATTTCATTCTTACACATCAATTTGATCTCACAAGAATTTAAAGAAGATAATTACTTGACAGAACATAAAAAGCTCCAACTCGGCCTAATATACAAACTAACTGGTTGTTTTCATCAATATGGCACGTTTCTCTTTCACACTGTGTGGAATACATATCAGAAGAAAGTGTTTCAAGTCATATACTTTTTGGTAACTTCGAATTTACTTTTTGGTAACTTCGAATTTAAAATGCATCCAAATTCTTGATAGAAGATTCAAAATAAGAATGCAAGGACTACAGTCATAGTTATTAGACCCGACCCGGACGTTGACTCGGTCAACATTCTGGGTCATCGGGGTACTGGTCGGATCGGTGGGTCATTACTTAGAAATTATCTAAAAAATTTTAAAGTATAATTTTTTTAATTATTATTTTGCTTGAGACAATTAAAATTTTCAAGTTATTTGTCACTAATTATTTTTACAGCTTTAAATTAATGATTTTTTGAACTCGTTTATTAGTAATAATGGTTACATTTTGATTTTATAATTTTGTATATTATATTTTCCCTTTTTGGGATGTACAAATCATTTATTATTTATTGACCAATAATTTATGAGTATTATCTATTCAATTTATTTTAGTTAAAGTTAAATTTTTCAAACAAAATACGTATATAAAATAATTATTTAATATTACAAAATGAATGAAAATATTGAAATAATTTTATTAAAAATGTTTCCAGAAGACGGCAAATTATTCATAGGTTAGATATAGTTAATTACACGAAAGAACAACAAAGTGTTGCTTGCTTTGGTGGTAAGGTTATGTTCTAGTTAGCCGAGGTCAAGTGTTCAAATTTTTAGTCCCCTAAATTTTCAATGGAGAAAAGTTTTGAAATTTGGTTAAAAAATCAACTGGGCCGAACCAGCCTGATAATTATATAAAACCCACTAGTTGACCCGGTCAAATCCGATTTTTGACCGAGCCACTTGCATTTACATAGTATGAGCTTGGCCGGCACCGGTTTATCAGGCCGACTGGTGGGCCAGGCAGATTTTAATAACACTCATTGCAGCAAAGTTTGCTGAAAATGTGCAGTGTTTCCCAGTTACATGGAAAAGAAACATATGATACGAAAGATGTTATGTACATTAAAAATGAGAATTGGGATGGGATGTACAAGAGAAGTCTTATACGAAGCTAGTAGGTTAGCAAAGGAAAAAAAGATGCAGGTTACTGTAAGAGCTAGATTGTATTAGGATAAATAGTATAAAAGGGCAGACTCCAGGGTTTCCTCAAGAAAGTGGAAAAGCTAGCAAATAACCGGGTAAGGTCTCCTATCTAGGTCCACAGCCACTATTTTGATACTTTTAAGTTGAAAGCAAAGAATTGTACAGTCCTTTCGTGATTTTGGACACAAAACTAGACATTCTGAGATGGAAAAAATTATTTCGAAAATTCCAACAAAAGAAAAAAGATATAGCATAGGAAAGAGCTATAAACTTCAGATTAGTATAAACAGATCACAGATGTAACGTACAATAATGAATGAACCATAATTGCAGTACGAAAATGGCAAGCAACAAATACAAATTAGAGAAACATAATGAATAAAACAATTATATCTTATATGTGTAAACTATAAAATGGGATAAACATAGATGACTAATAGAAAACACAGGATTACATAGGAATACAAGGATTAACAAGAAGCGAGAGTTCAGAGATGCATTCCTTCAGAAAATAAATTACAGGAAACATTACATTTTCAAGAAATTTTTTTCTTTTTTTTTTTTGGGTACAAAATTCAAAAGTATAGCCAATGAATGCATGAAACCACCAACTGCAAACTGAGAAGGATGCTGAATCAAAAACTTAAGATGAACCGCGTAAACAACCCAAAGCAAAGTTACTATTGGCTAGCAATATCATGAATATAGGATATTCCCTTTAAAATGTGATTTGATCGGGTCCACAACAGCTTAAAAAATTTATAAAAACATAACTTCACAATCCATTTTCCATCCAAAGAAAGCCATAAAGTTATCATGATCTCACTTTCCGTGTATAACAGTAAGAAAGAACAGCAAAAGAGGATTAGAAAAAACAAATTAAAAGCTAAAGTATTAAAAACAGAGTCTAACAAGTCATTTATTTCAAAAATAAAAATAATAAAAGCAAAAGAGGATAAAGAAACGACAATAGAAGCTAAAAGTATTAAAAACAGAGTCTAACAGGTCATTTATTTTCAAAACTTGACAAATGAAATGATCAACCACAAAATGTCAGACATACGATTCCAGAATACAAGTATACCAAAATAACGAACCATATTAATTCCCCAAAAAAAATTTCCCCCATTTTCAAAATATAAGTTGTTAGCTTACTCACCAAAAAAATAAAGTGGTAAAAAAAGATTTCTTGACACCATTTAAAAAATAACCAAATTCCTTTCAGGTCAAATTTCAGAAAAGAAGAAGGGAAATAACCACATTCACATACGTTATCATGCACTGTGCTATTCCTTCCATAGTTACACAACTTCCTAAGCAAAGTTCATTTTTATAAAAACTATTATGCACACCATTCACAATAATTAAACCCCATATTTAATTGAAATTCAAGACTCAGTTGGGAAAAAAGGAAACATTATTTACCTATCTCCCTTATTTCTAGTCAGATAAAAATCGAAAATCATTTCAACGAGATTAATCTTGTCTCATCCAACCCACAAATATTTCTCATTTCCCACCAGAATCCAATCAATTCTTAAATTTAAGTATCTTACACCCCTAAGACACAATATCAGAGCATTCAAACACTACCCTAGTTTAATTAAAGTAAGAACAATAAAGTAAAGATTTCTGAATCTCATAAATGTAGCTAAAAAAATAAAATGGGAAAAGTACGATAGTAAGATCCAAAGTAACATTACAAATTGCAATAAGAAAAATACCATAAAAACCGTGTATGAAAAAATCAGATACCTTAGAGAACTTGGGATTTGCTTAAATTTGAAGCTTTAGTATTTGGTTGAGACAAAACCCTAAGGCAAGTGAAGCGGAGAGAGGGAATGAAAGGGAATATATATATTAGCACTTTATTGGTTTGATAAAAATTAGTAAAACTTATAGTTTAAAAGTTATAGAAATTGTAAAATGTGTGATTGCCAAAATTTGGCATGCGATATTTCATTATTTCTTTTCTTATTTCCTGATTGAATAAAGTTAGAAGGAATTTAACTAAAAATAGATTTACAATAATTCATGTAAGTTTATTCAATAATTTAGTCACTTATTTTTATTTTAAAATTTAAAGTGTTAAAATGAAAAAGTGGATGATGTTATTACATTTGGTTGGAGGTTGTATTCATTTTTGCTTTTTTTCAATTTTTTATTGCCCAAAAACTTGCAATTGCCATTGATCGACTAATAATTCATCACCTAATTTCTATTAATGCCCTCCTAAATTCATACGAGGAGCAACAACAAATTGTCCATGAAGAAATATGGGATAAAGATCTCATAGTAATAACAAATTGTACAAATGAAAGTCGAACAAGTTATGGATAATCATCCTATTTCATTTAACAAAGATAAATTAGGTATTGTTCACACTGTGTAATTTTCTTAACGACCTTTTAAATCTCATCAATGTTTGTATTCCAAGATGTAAATTTCAATATAAAGATAACCGGAAAAAAAATAAACCACTACCAATAGATTATTCTTTAAGGAACGTGATTTTACAAATAATTTTTTTTTTATATTAATTATTAGATAGCAAAACTATTAAGTCATTGTTTGTAGCATTTTTTTTTTTTTAATCTCTTTCTCCTCACTCATCTTGAACTATATATTCTTAAAAAAATAATTTCATATTTCGCCTTAACATTTTCTATTTTTTTTTTAACCACACATTCTCAAAAAATTCACTTTTCACGTAATCAATTCTCAAAAAATCAACTTTACATGTCAAAATTAATTATTGGGGTATTAACCTAAAGAGTCATATTGTATTTAGCTCCCAACTCGCAAATATTATATAATATTAGGATACATTTGATAAGACTTTTGAAAAGTAAAAAATATGCATTTGATTTCATTCATTTTCTAAAAATTTTGCTTAGAAAAGCTCATAAAGGAAGTTGATTCAAAGTGACTTCTTAAAAATAATTTCAATAAATTACAAAAGCAGAAGCCTGCAAAACGAGCCCTGAACTACCAACTCGTGCTAAAATATTCATCTTTTGCACTTTTCGTTGGAGATTGGAAACCCAAATATCAAAAGGATTGGTTTATTACAGTATCAACAAAATACAGTTAGTTGACTAACATGAAACGGCGCTACATGTTGAGCGACTAACAACTCTCACCCACGTAAATCATAAATGAGTTCGACCAAATAATTAACATCACCCAATGGATCAACAAAGTCGAACATACAATATGTGATGGGTAAAATCGAACATACAATATGGGATGGGTGAAAATCTGTAGAATTGTGATTATTGTCAATGATGTATACATTTCACAGTAACACATTATATTTCAAGTGAAAATTGGCATCAAAGAATATAGTATACTATAGTGAACTAAACTACAAGGTGTAGCTTCATACAGTCTACAATGCGTTCAAAGACAAAATTACTTGAGCTACAAAATGACACCACGCTATATCACTGGATCGCCTATAGAATACCTGGCAAAAGAAAATGAATTTAACGTTCTTTACAGGAAAACAAGGAAAGAACCCATTTGACAATTTAAATAGATGGAAAACGAAGGCAGGTATAAAACCATTTATCTGAACTACGTAGTACAACTTATGCCAGACAGAAGAAATTAAATGCATGTCTGGTGAGCAATACTGGATATGTCTATATAGTATAAAAAACAATCCTATCTATCACACATAAGTGCCCCAAAAAAAATTAAAACAAAAGGCCAAAGATGAAAATTAAGTGAAATTCGCAGAGCGAAGGGTCGTTAGAATAGAAATTCTTAACTTATTTTGAGTTGCTTACAGCTGCAAATAGATTTCCAGCACAAGCAGAAATTATGAAACACATTTTTTTTGCAATAAATAAGAGAGGCGGCAAAAAATATTTAAATTCGTTTTACTATCTTAATGCGGCTGATAAAATCAATAAACAAGCAATTGTCAGTTCACCAAATCAACACCAAAAATTTAGAAAGTATATGCATATAAGATTACTAGAACAAGGATAAGAATAATTAATGGCATGAATTCCATGTTACAAGAGAATCCAGATAGTAGGCATTTGAACTTCTACTAAATGGATGGTTTAAAAATTAGCATCACATAACTTCAATTCCTCACCTTAAGGAGTCTCACAATCAGCAGGTTCCAACTGTCATGAGTGAACCTAGTGACGTGGTGTAAGCACTGCAAACACAAGGCTCCGCCATTATTGTACTTGGAAGTGTTAAATCAAATTTGATGCATAATGACCAAAATACAAAACAAGTAACACAAGAGAGGAAAATAAATTCTACAAGGCATGCTAAACTGCAAAATGAGTTCATTTTAAGGCACCATATCAAATTGAAGCACCAAGTGGTGATTGAGAAGACATCTGATCAAAAGAAATTTACAAGCCTTAGCAACGGAAAACAGAATCAAAAGGACCAAGAAAAGATAATTTTTCATCTACTGCAGATAGATCATAATCAAAATAAATGATTCCTGATGAAAAGCATGCTATCAGATACCCTTGTAACTTTAAAATGTCTCTGTCAGCAAATTTTCACGACAGACTTTATTGGATTGGGTTTTAGATGAGGAAATGCACAAAAAGCACAAAGGAATGTATATGGGTATAAATGAAATAAAATGTATTTAAAATATAAGAAAGGGAATCGGCATGACAACTAAAAGAAATACAATTAATCACCAGCAAAAAAAACTAGAATTTCACACTGGCCCAACCAATCGCTTTTAGGCTGACTGTTTTCCTTCATTATTCGTACCCCACTCTTCATCAGCCTCATTAGAGTTAACTAATACAGCAACATCTGTTAAATCAGCATCCACCACGACAGCCTCTTCTTGGCCCTCCTCATGCCCCTCTTCCTCTGCATCATCTTCCCCCACCTCTTGTGCCTCTTCTCCATTCTGCTCTGCAACCTAGAGAAAATAACAGAAACCAGCACTCAACACCAACTTGAAGATCGAATAAAAACCACAGTTTGAAACATGAGGGGCCAAGTTACTTATGCAAGAGACAAAAACACCGCACAACAAGGTATTAATTGCAGGTCAAAATTTGCAAATCTGACAAAATAAAGATAAAAAAGCAACACAAAAGCATCAGATAGTGAATGCTTTCTTTCTTTATTTTGTTTCCCAACAACATATATTATAAGAACAAAAACAAAATTCCATCAAGCGGGATATCATAAACCTTTGAAAAGCATTCGACTGAGTTATATAAGCTCCTCATTTCTTTCCTTTGAATTTAGATTCAATCAAGTAGAGCACACTAAATTCAATTAGTTTATTTGTATAACATATTGGCTTATACCTCATGATCCAAGCTTCCATTTTCCAGAGGTTCTTCTTCGTGCATTTGCATGTTTCTAAAAGTTTCCACAAGGCTTGCTGTTGATCTATCAATATGCTGTACATATTCAGCTGCTGGAGGATAATTGCCCCTGCAATGTTGAAAAAGGTTTCTGTTTATTCCCACGCATACTCTTCATTCTGTTTATTCCAATGCATATACACTTCAAATAAGTCCCATAACCTCGAAGTGACTAACTGAGATGACAGAAGACTCCAAAATGGAAAGGAGACAAAACATAATTCAGCAAACTTAAACTGAATGATTATGAGCTTTAATGGTGTTCCAGAATGAGATAAAAGGCAAGAGTTATGACAATGCTAAATCAAATGCAGGACTTCCTGTGTCAATATACACAAATAGCTTTATCAAACAAGCAACAGGAAACAAAATCCATAAATAAACACGTACAGTGTCTCAGCAACTCTAGATTCAACATCAAGTGCAATTTGCCAGTCCTCAAATAAATTCGGATATTCTTCAGGATCAGCCAGAGATTCAGCTGCTTTCTGATTAATCTGCAGACCACATAATCCAGGTGAATAGAACAGAAAAGGTTCACTGTACAATATCCAAAGAAATGTACATCTCATAATACTAGTCACTTCTATGAAATAGTAAGTGTATCCTTCTGTGCAGGACTTATAATATTTTCTCCTGCAGATATGCCTTGCCTTTAGTTTGAAAGATACCCACCCCTGTGACTACCCTTAACTAAAGGAGGGTTAACACATTTTAACACAACAAAGTAATTATATGAAACTACAATGAATACAAGAGCATATAATGTATGCAACCCTTCTTCATCTGTTGGTCAACATATATGGAGTCTTTAATAACCCGAGTATGATATTATATTTAGAAAATAGTCGATATATTTAGAAGTTAATGAATTGAATTAGAAGAAATTTTGCCTACAACAATTTTTTGAATATGAATTTGATAAATCCTATATATTTTTATCTAAGTGAAAGCTTGTAAATTTAAACTTTCAAGAAAAAAAATAGTAAATTGAAGGGTCCTTAATCAGAATATTAGATGTCATTATTTGCAGTAAGGTTCTTAATTGTGCCTTATCCATTATTTAGTTTCACAAGTTTTGCAAATAGAGAATAATGCATCATTGCACCGTATCACAGGCACAAGCCAGTTCCAAACAAGTACAAGATCATAATTGAACTATAACCTTATTGAGGTCCTTTCTCCAAAGAGCCACGATTTCTGACACTTTACTAGGAAGATAAGAGCGAGCCATCAATGCAGCTTCAGGTATCCGATTGCTGTACAAAAAATTGTAATTCAGAAATCATCAGAGTTAAAGAGGTAAACCAGCCAGATAAAGTGACAGCAAGAATTACCTATCAACCAACAGCTGTGAGAAAACATTCAAATGGGGGGGAAAAAACTAATTAGAAGGCTGCATGAATCGATCACACGACCCCTAGGGCCCTAGCAGAATAGCATACACTGACCTTTTGTCTTTATGTTTGGGTAAACTTATTAGTAACTTATAATTTAAAGAAACATTAATTCAGCCACACATTTATAAATACTCCCCATTTATTATCAACACGTTTTCGTGGAACACACTACTTTTTGCATTATAAGTAACTTGTAGCTTATATGTACCTCATAACCCAGAGACATTTTCTTTCTTTATTCTTTTCTGTTAATTTCTAGTAACTCGATTAAAAGGAGATCTTAATTAATCCCATTTCCTTTGATTAGCCAGACATATACAGGCATCTCCCAGAGAAGAATATAGTAGCAGTAAACCGCTCAAGTCATTTGCTTGCTTTAAACATTCCTCTGCCATCTCCAACTGCAATACAACAGATACGGTAATAAAAAGAATTTGAGAATGGAGGAATGGAGGAATGGAAGCATTTTGCCTCAAAAAAAAAAAATTTACTTCTAGCTCCTCATGCAGGTGACCTGCAATCATTTTAAGTCCAAGAATTTCAGCCATTCACTTTAAAGACTGCAAGTTTAGGTTTTTTTGTCAACAAAAAGTTTATTTCAGGACCATGATAAAAAAAAATATACATTTTTTCAGTACCAACAATTGTTTCACACACCATTGAATTTTTTTTTTTTTTTTTGCCGCAACAAGTAAATATGCATTCTGCTCATACGGCATACGAACACTTGAGGATAAGACAATACCATTCCCTTGGACATAGCTAATTCACCCAATTGCTTCCATTTAGACTCGCTTTGTGCCACTGCCGCAATTTCCTGTAGACAAATGAGCAAATTGTTTAATTATAAGCAGCGCGTGTTATGCCAAAGCACGACACTGAAAACAAAGAAAGAGAACCAAAAATCTGATTCTTCACCGGCTGAGAAAACAAATAGCACGTGCCAAGGAAATGTTTGCTTCTAATCACATCCCAACAAATAAGTCAGCAACGTTTACCTTCGCAATCTCTAGTTTACCCAGTTGTATGGCTAGCTCAAATCTGTAATCAGGTTCTGTAGCAACTTCTAATGCTTCTTCTATCATGCCCCGAGATTCCAAGAAACGAGCCACACTGACAACATAATCAACTTATTATTACATTCAAACTAAGTAATTTATAGAATTTCTCTTCAAATTAGAGAAGAAAATGATAAAAAGAGAAGAGGAGAGAATAACAAAATTTCAAGCATTCTGTATTGGATATTAACTTTGTCAACTTTGCTTGTTCGAAGTTCAATAGGAACAAGAGGAAAGGGCTCGTTGCAGAACAGGCAAAAAGTGGTCGTTTGGGAGCTGGTTGCAATATTAATCAGACAAAATTGCAGTCAGGCAGGAGCAGAAGTAACATGACATATATTTCAACCACATCAGTGTAGTCACAGATAAAAACTGGAACTACAGGTCAATAAGGTTTAACAATAGGATTATTCTAGCGGTACATCACCACTTACACAAGGGTGTCCATAATGGACACCCGGCACCTCCTCATTGGAGGGAGTGCCGACCCCACCGACCCTCCCTCCAATGAGGAGGCGCCGATGNGTCCATTATGGACACCCCGATGTACCTCTAGCATCTCCCTTAACAATAATAGGATAAATCCAACTAGCCTTCCTTAAAGAAATATACACGTATTAATGTATATATATATATATATGCACAGAGTACATACAGCAAGCAAATATGGCCATCACGATGTTATCCACTAAAAAATATTAAATTAATTGCTAATTAAATATTGAATTCAATTTCTAAACCAAAACATATGCATTGACAGACGTAAAAAAGAAAAAAATTTCCTACAGTCATTATATGGGTCTAAGATGTAAAAAACCTATTCTTATGCTCCTTTGGAATTGATGGTAAGACCTCATTTGCCCTCTCAAGATCACCACGCATCACAAGAGTCTTGTACTCAATCAAGCTCAGCAGCAGAGTATATCCCACAACACTGAAATGAAAAGAATCAAAGGAACTCGTAAACAGTGATAAACATAACACGCCATTTCCAATATTGAAAGATCAGATCAAATCAATCACTGATCTTAAGCTTCTAGGAACCTCACTTGAATTCTTTGTCAATGAGATATACCCGACTCTGATTGGCAAGATACCCTAGAAGATACATGGGCCGATCAAAATGGAACATTGTTGTCACCTAGAAATCACATGAAAACTCATTTTCTTCCTGATCCTGTACATGATAAAATTAAAGAACGTGATTATATACATTAAAGTACACAGAGCAAACCATACCTCACCCCCTACGCAGTAATTAAGCTTCCACGAAGAGTTGTTGTAAATGAAGCAATCACCGACCCAAATTCCAGTCTTGACTCGTTCATTTATTTCATAAAGGAGCTCAAAAGAATCTTCCACACCTTGTTCATCTACTGACCTCCCACTATCTATATAAGCAGAAACTACATCTCGCTGCAGTATGGAAAAAGCCCAATATAATCCAAACCATAATGATACAAGAAATGTGTAGTTAATTTACAGACATATTCATTTGAAAATAAGATAAATAAAATCCTTACATTGTACTTAAGTACATAGAATGACGTATCACTGGCAATGGTAACCAAATCACCGCTATCAGCCCAATAAAGATTCTGTAAAATGAGGAAAGACAAAAAATAATAAATAAATAATAAAAAATACCCGATTGATTGCCTGTATGGCTATAATAGCAACATGTGCATAAAATAGCTAAAGCCATAAAATTCTTACTTTAACATTAACATCAATCCGCCGAATCAACCTGCATTCAGCCCAATCATAAAAACAAATAAAATCATTTGAGCATATTGCCAATAAAGTCCCCCCATAAATGCGCTCAGCGGAAAATGTAGGCCGGATACTTTTCTTCTCCTGAAAGAAATAGTCTTTGTTACCGCTTATCCCAGTGGATAAATGAGGAAAAGTTTTCAAAAACTTCGTTTTAACTGAAATTACAAGGGAAACGATACCACTAGATTCATTTTTAGAAAATTAAGGAGAAGACGATAATTATAAACCTGAAAATTTTTACTGAAGATCTTAATCCTCGATGTACTTTCTCTAATAGCATATTCTCCGTCAGATGACCAAACAAATTCCAATGCAGAACCAAATGACCTATTTCTCCATGCCAAAGCTGTGTATATAATATGTTCACCGTCTCCACACACAACCACGAACCTACCATTGGGGTTGTGCTTCAAGCTCTGTGAAAGAAAAAGAAAACAAAGTGAATATGATGCCAAAATAGATTAATATACAAGCACTACAGCTGAGTTGAATGTAATCTTTAAAATAATGATGTCACCAAGATGATTAAAACCAACAGTTACTTTCCCCAAATACCATGTTTGCCTTAGTTCATTGATATAAAACCAAATAAAAGTTTTCTCTAACAATGAGAATACATCAGGTGTCACAACCGATGACCTATAGCTTATATATGGTAATTGAAAGACTTTAGAACGAAGTATAGATGTCCAGGAAGTTGCTAATCATCCAAAATATCCTATAGCTCATGAATGACTGGACATGGCAGGAAGATAACTCGTTTGACTCTTGAGAAGGTCCATCTGATCGAAATCATAAGATGAGAATCTTGAGTTCTTATGAAGAAAGGTGCAAAAACCCAGCATCAAAATAAATCTACCATACAACGCTGTTAACTAACATCTGTAAAGATCACTTACACGTGCACGAAAAATTCTCCTGAACACTGATTAGAAATCTGGGTCAGAGGAGCACATGCTAAACATGGAAAAACTTGTTCTCAATTTGTAATCAAGAAACATAAAGAGAAATGGGAATACCAAAAATCTTACATCATTATATCATGTACAATAATTTATATCATGTGCTCCACTAGGTATCTAATATCAGAACAAATGCGCAATCTGATGCATAATTACAATAGTAATGAAAAATCTCTTCTGTTTCTAGCAAAGCATTATAACACTAGCTAATTGACCTTATCATGGACTTTGGTCTAAGCTTACCAAAAACTGCTAGGACTTATGATTCTATTTTAATGGTGGAGGACTGGTTCTCAAAAATGGCCCACTTTATCCCTATTCCAAATCTCTTAATCCCATGTTGCTAAATTATTTTCCCAAGAAATTATATGCCTGCATGGATTGCTTTCCACCATTGTTTCTAATAGGACATCAAGTTTGTCAGCTATTTTCAGAAAATCTTTTAAAACATGTTTAGTACCACACTCGAATATTCATCTACTTTACCCTCCCAGACAGATGGTCAATAGAGGTTGTTAACCGCAGTTTAAGTAATTTGCTTGGATGTTTTAGTTGGGGAGAAATTGGGTATCAGGATCTTGTCTTACCTTTAGCTTAGTTCACATATAACTTCTATTATTGGGTCCACAAATAAGCCTTTTTGAGATTGACAATGGTGTCTCTCCTCGCCAACACCTTATTACTTGGCCTACTAATTTTATGCCTGCTACTTTAGCACAATACAAGCCTTTGGAGATCATATTCAAGAATACCACGATGAAATAAGAAGATTTTTTCTTAAAATAATAAAGTGAATTTTTGGCAAAGCTTCAATTATAAATTTAGTCAAATATAATTTTTATGTAGACGTTCTATGGACTCACACATTATGCGAGACCCACTACTTAAAATTTTAATTTAAATACTCCAAAACAAGCACGAAAGTTACAACTTGCTACTGATTCGCATTGTAGGAATAGAGAATTTTAGGTCAGTGATTATGCGATTCTTTGTATAATTCCACAGCATTTTTTCCTGAACATGCTGAAAACTTAATGCTCGCTCCATAAGCTCCTTTCAAGACACACAAAAACTCAAAACTAATGCATATCAACTAGACTTTCCACCACATTCAATTATTAGTCCAGTTTTCAATATAGCAAATTTATATCCCTATCAAAGCACTTTCAAGCCTCTAGTGTTGCCTTCATCTATTTCCACATGTTAAATGGTTCATATGGTGCCAAGAGCTCCTACTGTGATGTCATTGTTGAGGTTATTGATGATCATATTGTTGCTTCTAAGGATGGTGGCCGGCATAGATTTCTGGTTATGTGGCAATATTGACCTCTTACTGAGGATGCAAGGATCACAGAAGAAGAGTTCCGAGTTCTTGATTCAGACTTGCTAGACAACTACTTGGGGTTTAACTCGCCAAAGTCGAGTTCTTC